GCAGTGCCACAGTCCATCATGTGATCCCGGAGAACTCGATTTACACCTGGGCCGCTGCTCGTAATGGGAAGAATAAATCACTGCTAGCAGGTGACGCACAAGAACACACACACTCGCAGGCAGAACTAAAGCAAGCGCACATGATCTGCTGCCAAAGTACGTTACAGCTCACGTTTTACGTACAGCCTGAGTGTTTCTGTAGACACACACACACATACATGTAAACCCTGACTGTAGAAGGGACTCTACAGTCACGGTCGTGTGTATTCTTACACGAAGGAGTGTTATATTACTGCTAAAGTGTGCGTGACTCATGTATGACAAATTGACTCAGGCACACGCTGGCATCGCCTTAGGGACAGCAACCTGTCCAGTGCTTCTTTCACAGGACGCCACCTTCAGTGACCAATGAGATGAAGGAAAATAGCAGGGGAGAGACAAATGGGTTTAGGACTGACGGAAACAAGCTTTATTAAGAGACTTAAGTCCATGATTACACAGAAAAAGCACAACATAAAATATATATATATATGTATATATATATTTAAAACTTGAAACAATATTAGAAATAGAATCTACAATGAATACAAATCTTATATTACACATAGCGCAGTTATAAGAAATCAGTTTACACAAACACTTCAACCATTGATTCATTAGACTGGATGAGTAACAGGAAAAATTCACAGTAGGATTCATGAGCGCTAAAATTATACTGTTAGCAGAACCATTCAAACTTTCTATAAAAGTGAACATTAACTTCCTGAAAAGTGCTTTTAAAGTACAAACACCTACACTTACAAACATCTGACATTGCATCTTTGGATGCACCGTGTACCTTCTGGATCTACTGATGAGCATGCCAGTAAAAGAGAACCCTCACAATGTACCCAGGAACACATTGTTTAAATTTACCAATAGTTTCCTGTGGTTTGCTCGATCAAAAGCTTTACACACATCAATAAAACACATGAGGACTGATGAATTTTTGGTCCTATACAAGTTCACTGTTTTCTTAAGTCCACATATACATATGTTGATACCATGCTTGAAACTAAACTGATTATCCAGAGAAGAGATATACACACTTTATCAAGCAGGATTCTTTCTAGAACCTTAGATAAAATACTGGCTAGTGTAGTCGGCCTATAATCACCCAGACAGCTCACTAGTCCAGCTTTGTCCTTAATAACAGGGAAAAGCAAAATACAAAACATTGAGTCTGGTATGGATCATAAAACCAGGGAAACAGAGTGCTAAAAGAGCTTAAACGAGCATTTTTTAGATGTGCTGCAGTAATGTGATCCATAATGCAGTAATGTAATGTTGTCTCCATAATGCTGCAATATTATCTGCCCCAGAAATATCTTCAACCACACACGGTAGAGATGGTTTGCCTGATGGCTGATGGTTTCTTTCCAAAAATCTGTGACTTTATTACTCAGCATTGTCCTGGCCATAGAGTCATAACTTTCTCATTTTAAATATAAAGCGAATAGCATACTTATATCTGGAATTCGCAAGTTTCTTCTGTTCAAACTCTGGACCTTGCTTAGGTCTTTCATCCATGGCTGAAAGATTATAGGGAGTATAAACATTTAGGATAACAAAACTATTGTTTTTCTGCGTATATTGTATACCAATACACCAGCTGATCATCCAGTCTAACTGACTTTATCACAGCATCATTTTTCTTTGCCCCAAAGCACATTCACACCCCCCGCTATTCTGTCTCTGACTATAGCTGTGCTGACATCAAATTTTGGAAAGATAGTTAAGTTTCCCAAGTCTTTTTTAGGTAACCATGTCTCTCGCAAACATAAAATGTCCCATTCTGCAAGCAAACTGTCCACAACGATATGTCGAGCTTTATCCCCTGTAGGCCACGCAGGCCACCACAGTTGTAAGACAACACCTGAAGAGACATCATCATGCTAATATGTTAACACCAGGAGATGCAATTATCTCCCCTGCTGGATGCACTTTTTGACCATTTCACTAATGTCATTACATTCAGCAGTAACCTTGAAAGAACTGAGCTTGTTGCATATATTGACAGTTTTCTGGTGGGTGACATCTCTATTACGTTTCTCTTTAAGATACAGAGAACGCGTTTCTGCATCTACATCTGTGGCAAATTTAGTGTCGAACATAATAACTAATTTAGTCTTTACAGTTTTGATAGTACTCACAGCTGCAGTACCAATGATAGATACAGTTCCAGGTCTCTTGTTGCGTCCAATGGTTGCAACATCCATTGCCGAACCTGAAACAACCTTCTCCGGCTACCGGAAATCCTCCCCTTCTTCACAACTTTACTCTATTGTGGAGAACACGTGAAGAGCTCTGACTCAGCTGGATCCTTCATAGTAGTAGTGTTCATGTTAAGTGGCTGTCATCAGAGCCAGATCTTGATCACACACTAAAATCTCTAGATAACACACTGACTCATCACTCACCCAGATCCTCGAACCAGCCAAGCCTCCAGCTCCCTGCCTTCCGGTCAGGCCACCTTTGCCTTGACTCTCCTGCAGCTCTTCAGAATGATTCCCCCAGGATAAAGTGAGAAGCGGTCCCCCGGTCCCTCAGCGCTCCGAGTAGCAGCCCCAGCCAGCAAGTCAGACTGACACTTAAGAGCAGTCACACGGTTTTTGACTTCCACAGCGCCAGCCCGAACTTGCTTACAAATGCCCGCCTGAAGTTTGACTACATATTTCAAAGCACCCACCTCATTACACTGCTGGTCCATTCACCGTAGTAAACAACAGACATAATCCCCATGTTCATCCATTTTTTAATTGGACAAGTTGCTAAAATGTCCTCCAGCATGACTGAGATAAACAGCAATGTGTTTGAGATTTCCAATAAACAGACTGTGTATCTCATGATGAGTGAATAAATATCCGAGTCACTCCCACCAGAAGCAACGAAAATAAGCGGTCGGTTGGCAAGACTGCCTGAGAAAGGCAAAGCTGTTTATCAATCAGCTGGTCATTACACAGTCTGTCAGTATGTCAAACAATGTGGGAGTGGAGGACAAAGTAGTTCCAAAAACACTTCTACAGTAAACACAGACTGGTGTCAACCAGTGTTTTCGGTGTGGGGTTGAAACTTTAAATTGCCTCTTTACATTCACGTTGATGTCATCATAGACGGTATAAAAAATGGACATTGCTTCCAAATTATAAGCGTGGAAGTGCCTGAAACCCGCTTTCTCTCCACCGGATAGCGATATCTGTCTTTGCAAAAATGTCTGTTGGGACATGGCTTTGTGTCTTGGAATTGGAATTCAAATGCTGATATAACAGCAGCCTTTAACCCACTTCTAACCTGAGCTCAATCCTAGGGCATCAAATACTGCCGTTCTGTCAAAGTCGCTGGGGTCTTGCACATATGCGCAAGGTGTTCTTTGATGTCAGTGCCATTATGTAATAACTGCTGCAATGTTAGACACCAACAAAAAATGCTCCTGATTGAAAGAACAGGAAGGTGCATTTAAAGCCTTAGTTATACTTGGTTGCGGACAGCTAAAGATCCGACAGGCGAGTAGTCGTTCCTATTATACTGCTTTAAAGTCCGCTGCCTGGCCGCATGCATAGTCGGTGCATTGTAATGTAAATTCTTTACAGACAAGTCCACACGGGCACAGAAAACAGCCAGGCATGCACACTCTTGCATGAACCCTCTCGCTGACTGTCTCATGATGACATTGACATCACTGGGACCCAAGCAGACGCTAGCAAACTCGCAGAGAGGGAAAACATAATCCCCACTTTAGGCATTGGCAATGATGTCTATCAGAAGACTGGAGTTCGTATTTTGAGTGGGAACCCTCTTTTTACTTACTGTTCACTTTTGCTTTTGTTAGCTTCAAGCACCAAAAGGGTTGGGTTTAAGAAAAGATCGCAATTAGGTCCTGCCGCAGCATGAACTCTACATATTAAAAAACTAGTGCTAATGCAGGGGTGGGCAACTCCAGGCCTCAAGGACTAGTGTCCTGCAGGTTTTAGATATCACCCTGGGTCAACACAGCTGAATCAAATGATTAGTTCATTACCAGACCTCTGGAGAACTTCAAGACATGTTGAGGAGGTAATTTGGCCATTTAAATCAGCTGTGTTGGATCAAGGATACGTCTAAAACCTGCAGGACACCGGTTCTTGAGGCCTGGAGTTGGACACCCTGTGCTAATGGGAAGTTATTGTGTTAAAGGGTTTAAAAGGGGTTTCCAGTTACATTATTAATTCACAGTGTAAATTTCCTGCAGAAGTCTAAATCACACATAAGGAGTCTCGCCCAAAACTTTCATTAGTGGCGTGTTGGCAGTGAAACCAGGCACACCACAACAAGGAGAATGAGCCCTTAGCTTGGATAGTGATGGTGGTGTATTCATGATAAAAACTTCTTTATTTAAAAAAGTACCACCTCAGTTTTATCAGAAAGATTATGTATGAACTTTTGTTGTCTGTAGATATGTGGGAACTTTTCAGGTGCTATAATTTGCAGACTTGCTACAAATATTGCCATATGAGTATCTAGAGTGAGGGTACTCATTGAGCCAGAGCAGATGCAACTTAAGCAGGAAAGGGCTGCTGGTAAGCCCATGTGAATGTTTGGATATTTTTTTAAATTTCTAATGGGCTCCTCCTGTGTTCTGAACATTTCAGCTGTCTGTACAATAGATATAATCTGTGCAAAGATGATCTGAGCCTCTGGGTGTCCTGCTTGCTCTGCTTAGGTCATGACATGCAGCACCATCTCGTGACGAGACTCCTCTTGGCTTCCTACCAACGCCCTGCAGACTGAAGCCATGTGTCTGCTCGCTTGTCTGTGAATAAGCGCTCCCCGCTGCCTTCGCCTTCACTCGGTCTTTTTACTCTTTCTCCGTCATCTGCTTCGTGTCTCCCACATCTCGCACTCCGCTTGTCGGTTCTCCTCATCCCCGTTCTACTTTGGAACCAAGTTCTCTTGCTCTGCTTTTTGATTTGTTTAATTTTTACCCTTTCCCTTCACTGCCTCCGTAGATGTCATTGTTCTTTTTGAGTTTCTCCTTAGCTACCCTCTCTTTCTGTCTTTTCTCCTTCCCGCTCTTTGCTGAGACCCCACACCCATTATGACTAGCCTAGATGATGAGGGACAGTGTGCTCCCAGGGTCTCGTGAATGAGGGAAAGCAAATGCTAACAAACCATGTATCATAACACCAAAGGAAACGACTCTGACCAGTCTGACTCTCAAAATCAAGCTTCAAGTCAACACGACAAACTTCACACTCAGAGTTTTGTAAGCAGAAGAAGACTCATCCAGAAAAAAAACAAACTCCACGCATCGTTTACTTTATAAACTGCCCAACATTCATTCGCTCAATAATTCAAGAGTACCACTAGCAAGGGTGAGTCAGTAGCTGGAGGGAATTGGTTTAAACTGCAAATTCAGATGGTTTCTCATGAACTTAAGTTGAACTTGCGGTTTCACACATATCCTGAGAAAGCCTTCATACTCAGGAATACGTCCTTTACTTAATGTTAAGACGTTTCTAATAATGTTTACAGAGCCGATGTGCTAAAATGCTCATGAATAATTGCTCGTCCTGCGGCCCTGAGAACGAGTTACTCCAACTAAGATGCAACACATCTCGGCATGTTAGAGAATGCATAAATCATAACTGCTGTGATCGGCTGTGGCTCGTGGAATTTTTTTTTTTTTTTTGGGGGGGGGAGAAAAGATAAAGAAGATGACCTCATACTTGACAGAAAAAGACAAGAGGTGAAGAAAACTGTGGTAAATTGTCAACTGGGTCACGCTTGTGTAGCGTGCTGGCTTCTGAAACCAACTTGATGTTACGGCAAGGAGGGAGGCATCAGCGTGGAGAAGCACATGGCAAAAACTGGGAATGACAGAATTGTAGATGTTTTAGTCCTCTGTGTGGACTAATAGTAGCCCTTATGGCTGCATAACCCTCCCATCGTATCACCCAGACAGATTAAAGAAACTAACCCACCTAACCCCCACAACCTGCAGCCCGTCACCCTGGACCTGAATGTGAGCACAGAGGGACTCACAGTCAGCATGCACACACTTACTATACTGTAGAAACACATATAGATAAGGACACATGCACATAATTTCAATTAAAAGATAGCATTCACGTCTTCAACAGCTCACCTCCCAATCATAGTAGAGTGCTGCTGCACAGCAGCCTCCAGGAGGCGCTCTAGGATGGTCCATTCTCCCATGGTTGGAGTCAGGAGGCATCCACTGGGCACAGAAAGTCAGGACTGACCCCACTTCAGGTGGGCTTCCCAGACAGCTGGGGTTCAAGTCCTTGTCTCTCAGTGTTCAAGTCCACTTGTTAGGTTGAGTTGAGGTAGGGAGTGGCTTCAGGTGGCTGGTTTGGTATAGAGAAGTCAGGAACCCCGCAGAAGCTCAGTGACACCTCATTGTAAACTCCGTGTCTTCTATTAAATGTGCTGTCCGCCACGCTTTCCTCACACCACTAACTGTGACTCCTGACTCCGCGTGTGCGATTCGCCTTCCATGCACTTCTTCACGTGAACGTGTCTTCCTTCTCCTCTCCTCTGGGCTACCCCGGCTCTGTTTACCTCCTAAAACAGCTGGTGTGTCCTATGTTCTCACACCAACACTCGCACACACCTGCTCTGACAGAGACCCGAGCCTCTCGTCTACTTCTGCTGACTTTTGCGGAGCGGCCGTAGTTTGTGCAAACAGACATCCATCGCTCGCACACTAACACTCCGCCCTCGTACGCTCGTTCTTTGACAGCATCTTGTAGTAACTCCGGCCGGGCAGAGGTCCATACACTCATGTGAGCCTGAGCACCCAGGGGTTTCTGCGTGTTCTCCTCTCCTCCATCCTCTTTCTCTGTCCACTCTTCAGGCTGTTTTTCGAGGGATTCCTTCTCCTCCTCCTCTCTGTTGCTCCTTCCTTCCCTCCTGCTTTGGTTCAGGCAGAGCAGCACTGTAGCATCGCACTCTTCCTCCTCCTTCCCTCTGCTAGAAACCGTGCCGGAGTCGCTGGGTTATCCAGTTCCTCCCTGCCTCTCTCTCTCTCTGTTTGTTTCTGTCAGCGTGCTTTACGAGAGGCAGCGCTCCTTTCCTTTCTTCCCTTCATCTTGTTTTTTTCCTTCCCACTTGGTTTCTCTCTGTGTGCGCCCTCCACCTGCCTCCGTCTCTCTCCCTCTGTCTCTCTGAGCCAGTAGGCAGCCAGACCGAGCGTGTGTCTAGAGGATTAGAGCGAGGAATCATCTCTCTGCTCCTCCCCCCTCTGGCTCCCTCTCACTCACTCTCCATCACCGTGTTTATCCCCCCCACCCCTCCACCTCCCCATCATACCATACAAACAGTTTTTCACTCTTCCGCCACACACGATTTTCTCCTGCATTTACATTTTTGCCATCCATTGTGTTCTCGCGTCTGTGCAGTGATACCTACTGTACACTGCAGACGGAGACATTAGAGGCAGTGTCACGCCGAGGCTATGCAAGGATACTGAGGCGACACAGGGGAAGTGTGTGACAGAGCGAGAACACGATGGAAGCGCTCCGTGTGTGTGTGTGTGTGTGTGTGTGTGTGTGTGTGAGATACTCACTCAAACACACCATCAGTAATTATGCGAGAAAATCACGCATGACCAAACATCTAGGTGTTTTCATTATCAGTGATTCTTCCCGTTGTTGCTTTTTATTTTTTTTTAACAAATGCATTAATCATCATTAAATGTCACAGAGCAGATGTTGCAAAGAGGCACTGTAGTACTCCGTTTCATGATCTACGGTGATAAATAATAATTCAGATATTATGTAATATGCTGCTAGTAAGGCTTTTAAATACTACCTGGACAATAGTCTATAAGGGATATACATTAGATATATTTCGCAGTGGTAATATAAATATTAATGTGATATAAATATTAGTCAATAATGAGGAATTTCAGTATTTGCAAATAAGATGTCACATCTTGTACCTTCTGATATTTTTATTACATCCATTTTCCACAGGCTTAATGTGGAAAAATTGTGTGTTTAAGCACTTTTAAAGATGATAGAAAGCCAGAAAAGAACAAAATCAAAACAAACGAGTGTTGATATTTCACATTCAGGGCATCCCTACTCAGTATTACAGAAAAAATATGAATCCCGAATCTAGCACAAAGGATAGGGTCCTCCTTTGGCTATTTTGTTCGAACAATCCCATATTTACTTTGCAATGACATTAAAAACAAAAACTGGAAAATATTTGACTTTTTTTTTAATGTTTAATATTAAAATATTTGACTTTCAGCTCCTCAGGACACATTTCCTGTAGTTTCAGAGACAGTGCTGAAAAGGTGCTATGCTCCCATAAACTTGATTAAAAGGTATATTTACAGTATGGTACAAAAAGCAGTATGTTTCTATGGCTAGTTTCCCCTTCAGAATAAGTGAGTACTGGGACTGAAAACACCTGGATTCAAAGATTGATAGATGTCGACTTCAGTCCATATATTTTGTGTGAGTTAGGAGAGCTTCTGTGTTGATTTGACAGGTGCTCTGACACACAGATTGTACATTCTAAACACAACAAACCTTTATGATTTTCAGCACTGCTTCCTTGTCTGAAGTGTATCTTGTTTTGGGGTTATTCTGGGATCTTTATATCCCTGTATCCTGCATCACAGAGCTCAGAGCGTCCACGTGCCTCTGCGTATACGCAAGGAGGACAAGGTGAGACAGGCAGGAGGATACTGGGCCGCCCCCCCAAAAAATAAGAAAGAAAAAAAAAAAGAGCACGAGAGAGGGAGGGGAAAAAAATGCCTGTCACTTTGCAGCAAACAAGCCTGAGATCACTTGACAACGTTGACTCACACACACATATACACACTGTGGCATCTCCATGCAGTGCAGCTGAGTGTTTTAGAGGCTTCCACTGTTACTCGCTGGCTCTGCAGACCGGAGGAATAGTAATCTATTCTGAAGGAGGTAATGAGTGACTGCGCACACACGTAATCCCTCCTACTCCTCATGCCAACACAATCTGGCAGCACCATGTCTCACACGTGAAGAGAGGAGGGCAAACGGGAGGGGAGCAAACAACTTGGCTGCAGTCGGTCACTGGCATGAGTGCAGGAGAAAACACTAATATCCTTATATGGTGATGTGCGCGCTTTTGTTTTGACTAAAACAATGAAATTAGTTTGGAAACAGCTTGGTGAAAAATTTTTATGTTGATTAGCCACGGTATGTTTATGTGCAGTTGGTGATAGCGTTGTAGAGCTGCAGGCCTCACCATAGGCCTGATTTATCAAATCTCAGTTCTCCAGACCTGTCACCTCCCATGAAGTCCTACAGATTTGGTGTTACATGTCAAAATGCCTCAATTTTTTTGATACAACCCACCAAATACTTAAAAAAAAACCAAAAAAAAAAAACCCCCAGCAACATCCACAAAAATATCTGTACAACAAATTATTTGATAAAATTACTTCTGGCCCAGTATCTCGTAAAAACTTTAAATATAGAACGAGGGGTTGGAGACGAGCTGTGGCTTTATGAGTCAGCAGGTTAATTCATCAGCAGGTAATTTGGCGTCATCACCACTAATAAGTGCTCAAACGAGCATAGCCCAGGATCAGGTGCTCAGTTTGTCTTGAGAGGGAGGAGGGACAGCTCAACCGACTAGCATGTGGTTGGGAGCCCTTTTGTGGACACTGAAGGTAAAGACTACAATTTCACACTGATTAACAGATAAGAAGCTTTGGAGCAACTCCAGGGACCATGGGGCTTAGGGGACGGGGCGTGGGTGTCTGTGTGTGTGCGTGCAGGTCCTTGTTCACGCCAGTGGGACACTGAAGGCAATTATGGTTTTAAGCCAGCGGGATGGAATCAATTATCACATGCCAACTTCCTCAAGCCCATCTGTTTGTTTTAAACCCAATATTAAAAAAAGAAAAAAAGAAATGCATTAATCTACTTCAGTTAAGCTCAGCTTAATCAACTAATGTAACTGAGGATTTTAAAAAGACATACTTTGTTTCTATTGTGTACCCTTAACTTTGTATGCTGCAAATTGTTATATAATGTGGGCATCCTAGCATCTAAAGCAGAGTGTATTAACTATTTGTGAAAACAGACTAAATGATGCAATCTCATTTGAGCAGCTTCTATGATGGACTTGTGTAATCAATATATAAAAACAAACAAGCACAGAAAAATGTTTAGGTGTGTGAATATGGCATAATCTTAAGCAATGAGCTGACATATTGCCATTACCACTGCAGGGTTTAACCCTTCATTAACCTAGTGTACTCTTGTATGAGCAGCGTAGTGACACACTGACAGCTGGACTCGACCATTTACTACAAACCCTTTGATCCTGCCCTGATAGGCATGACATTATGTAACACAAACACACAATGATACAGTAATCTGTATTTAACTGAAAGAAATTATAGAAACACTGCATGGCAGATGCACTACAGGAAACAATTAAAACTCATATCTGGCACTCTTGGTCAGAGTTTATATATCACTGCTGCAGGTGACATCAGTCTGAAAGGGCCCAGCAGGCCCTCAGCAGTCATTATGTCGTATATACACAGTTCCATTATTCTGCACTGGTGGTTTAAAAGTCTCCCAGCTTCTTGCGTTCAGTCCCGTGATGTGTAGGTCGGCATCAACTAATCTCCTTGAAAGCCCTCTTCTCCACATACTTCACCTTGAGTCTTCTCTTGAACCTAGAAGGGAGAGGGTGGAAACTCATGTTATTCACTACACACCTTATGAATTCACACATCACTCTGGGCCTTTGATGAGATGTTATGTAAGAGCGAAGCAGAGGTCCTTACTTGGCTCTTTCTCTGGGTTCAATAAGGTTTCTCTTCTGCAGACTCTTGAAGCGGTCCATGAGCACGCTGCCCTCTGGCTGTGGAGTCGCAACATTACACAAAGAGAAATAGTCAAAACAAAGCCATGTGACACAAATGTCACGCTGCTCTCACTGGATATGCAATTCCCACGTGCATCATAAAAATCCTATTCTCATCACAAAGACCGATTTAAGTATTATTCAAAGACATAATTGGAGGGGATAAGAGGGAAGGACTGGGAATTTTCCCCCAGCAATTACATCAAATGAAACTAATGATCCCTGTGGGGAAAGCAAGTCAGCACAGTATGAGAGAATGGGATAAAGCTTTGAATAGTGGAGAAGTGCTGAAGATAATACAGCAGCCAAATTAG